TTGTAGAGTGACTCCAAGAAGTAAGAAGTTCCTGATCATAGCCTCACCCGTATGTGTCTGTAACCAGGGAAACAGGAGTGAATCCTGAATCCTGAAAACCTCCTGGTACGTGCTTTCTATCCCAACAATGTGAATTCAGAGGAGTCGACCAAGGAGCTGTCTTATTTTGCCTGTCAAAAGTTAGGGGCAAGTCAGGGGCATTGTTCTAAATCCAGAGGTTAACCCCCTTCACAGCGCCCTGCAAGCTACAGATGATGGCATTATCGTTCCAGACCAATGCCAGAGTAGAGAAAAGGAAAACAAGGAGAAAGGGTTTCATGCGTAGTTAAGGTATGTTTTGCTCTGTCTACCTTGATGTCAGCTACTTCTCTTTCTCATCAGTTTGTTTCAGCTCCAGCACCCACAAAGGACCAGGCCACAGGTAGAGACTTCTTCAGCTGACATGTGTATCCAAGGCTCAGTTCCTTCTGGTTTTGCAGCAGGGTTGATGGTTATGGGCACTGGGTAAGGGCCCTTCAGTGGGACTCAAGGGCTGTCTTCATGTGATGACCTTTGCAGAATACAGTCACCAGGTTCTAGGCTGTGACCACTAGGATCCTTGGCATGGGGTCAGACCCTAGACTTCCTTAGCCAGCTGATGACAGGCTTTAGCATAAGACATTAGAGACTGACAGCAGCTGGCCACAGTTTCCTGAGACAATGTGGGATCAGGTTGCATGTCTATAGACATGGGTCAGCTGGAGACTGTCCCATGTGGAGTGAGTTTATGTTCCCTGAAGGGTTACCAGGAATTCGCAGCAGGGCCAAAGGCAACACCTTCAGCACAGGAAGTCCAGGAGTTTTGGCAAGTTTTGAAATTTTAAGTTTGAGGATCCCATTAGCTCTCTCGACCTAGCTTGATGATTAAGGATGACAGGGACAGTGCTAATTCCAAGAAGCCTGCAAGGATTTTGCTAAGGCTCATAAAATTTGCCCAGCAAAGCAGGTGCCTCAATCACTGGAGATTGCGGAAGGTCTACACTAAGTGAGAAACACATTTACTAGCAGTTTCTCACGGTGAGGGCATCAGCCTTGTGGCAGGGGAAGGCTTTGGCACATCCAGAAAACACACATACACTATCAATAACCTACTGAGAATCCGTACTAAGTGGCAGTTGAATGAAGTCTAGCTGCAGATATTCAAAGGGCCCAGAGGGAGGGGTCTGAGGCCTGTGGGGACAAATACAGTTGTTCTGGGATTGTGGTCCTGACAGGCCACACAGGGATGGCAGGCTGTATTTGTAGTTTTGTAGAAGTCTCCCCACCAATGTTGATTCATAATTTGAGTCATCTTAAATGCACAATGGTGGGCGAAGGAGTGAAAACCTGAAAAGCAGGAAGAACCCGGCAGCCACCCTGGATTTCCCGGAGCCCCAACTCTCTCATTCACGGCCACTGCGCACCCACCTTCGTTCCTCTGTTTAGGAGCAGACTGTTGCAAGGACACCGGGGTGGCACACGTCTGGCAATGAGGGGCCATTCTTTGCAGAAGCAGAGTGGGCTTAATCCACGTGTGCCACAAAATAGGTGCCGTTGCGGCTCCGTTTGCGTGAAAGTCAGCCGGGGTGTTTCCCTCACACTCAGGTGTCAGGGACTCAGTCAGTGGGAGCCTTAATTTTGATGACAGCAATTTCAGAAAGTAAGAAAAGAGGAGTAAGAAGATTGTTTACTTTTTGCTAATTTTTGATTGGGGTCGCACAACATTCATCACTGGAATTACAAGAGAGAACATTATACCAGGACATATCAGATTCCTAGGAATTTCACAATTTCTAGAATACTTATATACCCACACAAATGCAACATAAAGATCACTTCTGATTTGACAATGCTTCTGACATGACTTCACATATCAAATAAGCCTAATTAGTTTAAGAAGTCCTTTGGGATATTCCAGGGGCCCTCTTCTTCCAGATAAACGAGACTTCATATAGAATTTGATTTGGGGACATTTGTCAAAAATACCAAAAAAGGTTTTAAAGCTTAAACAGGAATCACAGATCATTATGAAACTTAGCAAGTCTTGGCTCCTTTAATATTACAGAAACGTGGTTTTCCCAAGTAACCAAGGACCACTAAGTCAGCAAACAAAGGAAATTAGTTTGGTAAGACACGGAATCTTTTCTAGGCAGATCCCTTAAAAGGTAAAGATACTTCTACAATCTGTTGTCAAAAGTAGACCAAATGTCCAACAAACACACACTTTATCCTTCAAGGGAAAGGCAAAGGCCAACGCGATTTCTGGCTAAAAGAGAACAATCACTGAGATTCAACCTCCGAGTTTTCAAAGATTTGCCCATAGGGGCAAATCACAAGGGCGGATTCTTTGGGTAAGATGCACGTTTGCCAAGCTGAAAGTTCATAGCCATTGCCATCTGGAGTGTTCATTCTCAGACACCCACCCGACATTGCACCTGTGACCGCTTGCATTTGTCTTGCACTGCTTCTAACCTTGAAACCTTCCCAAACCTAGCGCTTTGGGTCTCTGCGAGTTCAGTCAGTCAACTCAACCGCTGTTCCATTTTTGTAAAAGCCTTTGGGACGCGAGCTCTGTAAATGGACACTCAGTGTGTTTATAGTGAGAATGTAATGGCCGAGAGCCCAGCAGTGTAAACACATTCTTTCTACGTCCGCACATCTGCACGTTAAGGACAAAAGATTGCGTAGGTTTAGAAAAGGAAAAGGGTGAATTTCTTCCAGTGTGTTACAAGTTATTACAAAGGAGCAACTGAAAGTTCTTTGAATGTTATGGCGCATCGGGGTGCGAGGCCTTGGGTGATCGGGCCTCCCAGTTCTCCCAGAGCTGAACACCGGCCCAGGCTTCCCCACTCCGCGCCCGCACGGGCACCGCTCAGAGCTGTGGGTGTGCAGCGCCGCCCACGCTGCAGGCTACGAACTCGGCGCTTCTCAGAGCAGCCGACCCGCGCAGAGGGGCAGCCCCAGGGCGCAGAGGGCCCAGGGAGCCGAGATGCACTGGAGTGGGCGGAGCTGTGTGGCACACGTGGTCTGGGGGCATTCAGAGCAAGGGAGCGTGAGAGCGCGGGGGCTGTGCACCGGTGGGCGCGCGGGCGTCTCGAACCCTCGCCGGCGCGGCCTCCTGGGCGAAGAGAAGCAGGCAGCCAGCGGGCTGAAGGAGGGCAGCGTCCCGCCGCGGAAGCCAGTCGCCTCTGGGCTGCGGCAGCGCGGGAAACACGCGACCCGGCTGCGGAGCCCAGGCCGCCCTCCGGGCTGGGCACCGCGGCGGCGACGGCCTCGCTGGCTCGAGAGCAGCGCGCGGAGAGGCCGGGCCGCGTCCCCCAGCCGCGTGGCGGGCCCCGCATTCCACTAAAAACAACACCCACGTGCGCCAGTAAACAAGCGCGCGGCCCCGCCGAGCCCGCGCCCGCCCCGTTCCCGCACGTGTCCGCCGCTTCGCCCGCGCCTCTCGGCCCGCGGGCGGCCCACTCCGCGCTCCGGCGGCCCCGCCAACTCCCCTCCGCCGCCGCCGTGCCCCGCTGCCCCCCGACGGGCCCCTCGCTCGCTGCCCGTCAGCCGGCGGGGGTCCTGCTTCTGGGGCGCCCGCGCCCCTCCCGCCCCTCCTTCCAGAGACTTTTACTCGATTGTTTATTATTTGCTGGGGGCGGGGGCGGGGGGCGGAGAGGGGCGCCTGGGGCCTGGAGACTGGCGGCCACGGCCAGTCAGCGCGCGGCGTCGCTTGACGAGAAGGCGGCCCAGCGAATGGCAACGCAGCGCCGAGCGCCGGGGTCACGCGCGTGTGGATGCGATGACATCATCTGTTTGTACGCGTCGAACTAGCTTGGTGCAGGGGCGCGGCCGTGCGTCACTTGAGTGACGGGCCGCGCGTAAAGCCCGGAGCCTGGAGTCCGCCGGGTGGGCGGACTCTTCGTAGCTGGGTTGGACCTTTTTGTGTGCCGGGTTGTCGCGGAGCGCGTCTAGACCCTAAAATATCTCCAGTGACTTGGAAGGATTTCAGGAAAAATAGATTTACACTGAAAGTATTTCAGGAAAAAGATTTATGAACCAAAGTGGACAGACTTCTGGTGAGCGAGTCGCATGGAGTGCATTCTTAGTGCACAAATGGACGATTTAGGCTCTGATCGTAGGATAAGGATTTGCAGAGATGTTTCCCTAAGTCTTTTTCTTTTTAAAAGTAAAAAACGCACAGTCAGTCGTTTTACCATTATATGCAAATTAGAGCCAAATTATTTCCCGTTCACAACTGTTCAAAATCTGCTCCTGCGTTTCGGAATGGAGGATCATTTGCTTTTCTTCTGAGTCGTTACACGGTTCTTCCCTCGTTTGTCATGAAATTCCTGACGAGGGAAACACGGCTGTGCTCGAGTCCTGGGTAAGAGAGAGCGAACCTGTAGGTGTCTGGGCAGCAGTTCATGAAGTCCTGCAGGCACCGACGTCGGCGCCGGTCGGTGTTTCCACGCCCAGGTGACCCTTGCCACCTGCGGCCAGCACCTCGGCTCGGGCGTTCGCTGGTGTCGGGCTCCGAGCCTGTGGGACGGACGCGCCGGTCGCCGACCCCTCCCACCCCCCCGTCCCCCGGCTCCCTGTTCCGAGACCAGGCGGCCGCGCCGCTGCGCGCGTGGAGCCGTGGCCGCTCTGCCCTCCCCTCCCGCTCCTCCGGGGACCGCGCCGCGCTTTGCTGTCATCGAGGCTCTGGGGAGGGAGGCGGAGCCCGGCGGGTGGTGCGGGGGCCGGCCGCGCGCCCCGACACCCACTCCCGCAGCCCCGCGGTGCCGGCCGCGCAGGCGCGCGCACAGACGCACACCCGCGCGCGCGCACGCCCGCAGCACACCCGGGCGCGCCGCCCAGCCCTCCCCCTGGGCGGGGACCCGCCCGCCCGCCCGCCCGCCGTCAGCTTAGGTTGAGGCGCCCTGCGTGTGTCTATAACTTTGTGCCGCGGCCGCGGCCGCCCAGCTCGTGGAAGGGAGGAGGAGGAATGTGGCGGGCGGCGGCGCGCAGGCCGAGCGGCGCTTCCTCAGGCGGCCCGCGGCGGCGGCCCGAGCGCCTCACCCTCGCCGAGGTCGCGCGCCCCCTGCTCGGCCGGCCCCGGGCCCGCGCGGGATCGTGCGTCCCCCCTCGTCCCTGAGGGGAAGGCACCGAGGTAGGCGCCGGAGCGGGGCAGCGGGAGGCCGCCCCCCCCCCCCGGTGGCTCCGGATCCGCTTCCGAGCGGGGCCAGGCGCGTCCCCTTCCCTCCGTGCCTCGGTGTGCGCGCCCCCTTCCCGCCCGCGAGTGTGTTTAAAGGACTTGAGCGAAGGGGGAAAACTGTCAAGATGGCAGCAGCGGGAGCAGGGAGGTGATGAACGTGCCGGTCCGGGTTTTCTGGAGGCCCGGGAGCTGGGCGCTTCCTGTCCTGTTGGAAGATTTACGTCCCCACTTGCCCCCTCCCCGCGTTCTTTACGGGGAAGGGGGTGGAGGGCGCCACGTCCGGGAGAAAGCGAACCACGGAAACCCCCAAAGTGGCGGCTCCAGCCCGGCCGACCCTTTGCAGACCGCCGAGCGGCTCGCCCCCCGCCTTCCCGTCCTGGCTTCCCCCTGGAAGTGACGGGGGCTCGTCTGCGCTCGGACCCGCGGGCGAGGAGGGGAGCGGGGAGCTGCCCGCCCGGAGGGCACAGCCGGGGCGGCAGGCGGGGGCGGCGGGAGAGCCGAAGACGCCACAGACTTTGGCGGCGACGCCGCGGCCGGAGCGCAACATAAACAAACGCCCGCCCGCCCGCGGCCCGCTTTAAAGGCGCAGCGCGCCCCTCCCCCGTCCCCGCCCCGCCCCCCCGCCCGGGAGGGACCTGCGGCCCCGCGGCGGCGGGGGCGGGGGCGGCCCGGCGAGCCCGTCGATTCGCTCCCGGCCAGGGGCGGTGTCTGCGGCGCTGGGTTCGCGGGACGCGCCCCTCCAGGTCCGCCTGCTGGCGGCGGCGGCGGCGGGCGAGGACTCGCCGAGCTCCGGGCTCCAGCCCGGTAACCAACTCCCCTCCTCTCTCCTCCGTGCTTCTCCAGGCGGCGGCGGCGGCGCCCCGTCCCTCCCCCGCCGCACCCCGCCGGGCGCCAGAGGACAGCCGAGCCCCGCGGGCGGGCGGGCGGCGAAGATGGCAGAGGCGCCGGCCTCCCCGGGCCCGCTCTCGCCGCTCGAAGTGGAGCTGGACCCGGACTTCGAGCCCCAGAGCCGGCCGCGCTCCTGCACGTGGCCCCTGCAGAGGCCGGAGCTCCAGGGCAGCCCGGCCAAGCCCTCGGGGGAGGCGGCCGCCGATCCCGCGATCCCGGAGGAGGACGACGGCGACGACGACGAGGACGGCGGCGGGAGGGCCGGCTCGGCCATGGCGATCGGCGGCGGCGGCGCGCTGGGCTCCGCGCTGCTCCTCGAGGACCCGGCGCGGCTGCTGGCTCCCGGGGGGCAGGACCCGGGGTGCGGACTCGCCCCCGCGGCGGGCGCGCGGAGCGGGGGGACGCAGACGCCGCTGCAGCCTCAGCAGCCACTGCCGCCGCCGCAGCCGGGGGCGGCCGGGGGCTCCGGGCAGCCCAGGAAATGCTCGTCGCGCAGGAACGCCTGGGGGAACCTGTCCTACGCCGACCTGATCACTCGCGCCATCGAGAGCTCCCCGGACAAGCGGCTCACGCTGTCCCAGATCTACGAGTGGATGGTGCGCTGCGTGCCCTACTTCAAGGATAAGGGCGACAGCAACAGCTCCGCGGGCTGGAAGGTGCGTACCCACCTCGGGCTGGCGGCGGACCCGCCGGGCCTCCTGCGCAGCTCCGGGCGCCGGACTGGGGGTTGGCAGGGAGAGCCTCCGCTGTGAGGCTCGGGGTCCGGGGATCTTCGGGAGAGGGGGAGCCTGGGGAGGCAGCGGCGCGGGGGTGGGGTGGGAGAGGCCGCGGGGAAGCCTCGGTCGCGGCCGGGTCCGGAGAGGGGCGAGGGACGCCGGCCCGGGCAGTGCGGACGGCAGGAGCGCTCTCGCTGGATTCCGGGACAGCGCGGAGGAGGTAGGTCCGCGGCCGACTCCGGAGTAGATTCACTGCGGTGCGGGTGCCGCGAGGGCGCTGTGGGTGGAGAGGGGACGTGCGGGAGGGAGTGTTGGGGACTTGGCGCCCGGAGGAAGGGTTGGATTTGTGGTTTCCAGCCGGTCGCCGGAGCACGGTGCGCCGGAGCTGGACGGAACCCTTGGGTTCAAGTTGCAGGCTTGCGGTGGTAACTCCCACAGGCCACTTCGATCCCAGCAGCGGCTGGAACCCTTTCCTACCCTGTGCCCGACACTGACGCCTAAGAGATCTCCAGTAGGCCTGCCCCCAGTGGCCTCTGAGATGATCTGGGGCCTGGAACTGGCCAGCCCTGCCACCTCAGCGCAGACTGGCCACACCTGCTGCTCCCACCAAGGCCTGGCCTCCCCTGGGCCAGGTGTGCCAGGACCCCTGCCTGGAGCTTCCCCTGGGGCTTTGGGAGGGAGGTTTGGTGGCAGGCCGGGTGGTAATGGCTCCTACCTAGAAGTGAACCTGAAGAGAGGCTGTCTACTGTTCCTTTTCAGCCTCTTGGGGCACTGGACACGTGGTGGGGAGAGAGGTGTGGAAAAGCCTCTGATGTAAGGGTTTCGCAGTTGGGCATCCAAAGAGATTAACTCCTGTGTCTCTGTGGCCTGCCGGGGCCCTACTGCTTTGCTCTGCCTGGCACCTCATCCTGCTGGTCCTTTCCCCCAAAATGTATGACTGTCCATAGCAAGCAGAAGACTTGTGTGCAGTGGGACATGCATACTGCTAATCAGTTGCTTCTGTTTGCAAGTTACCTTTTTTTCCCCTCCTTTTTAAAATAAGTAGTTGTTTCCTCCTCCTGTCCCTTCATTGTCTTTGCGGAGCCCTGTATCTTCCTGGGTTCCAGTAGGTGTATACAAGGACAGTTTAACCGGGGTGGAGCACGGGAGCAGAGCCTGTTGATGAAGAAGCTAAAGAATTTAGTGGGTTGACTTTTAATTTGCTTTTTTAGAAACTTTGCAAAGTGCCTGTTTTTTTTTTTTTTTACTTTTTTATGGCCAGGGCTGGAGAGGCCTTATTCAGATGCTTAAAAAATGTGCCTTGATATTATCCCAAAATCTGTCTCTTTCCCTTTAGCAAATGCTGACATTAAGAACCTTACATTTGATTTAATTTTATTGCTTTGCAAAAAATACCAGTTGTGTGATAGGATAGTTTAGAGAAAGGATGAGAGTTCCATTTTAAAGCAGTGCTAATGTGATATCCTTGAAAACCAAGTTTCCAAGTGGATAGCAAGGGTTAATCTCAGTGTACACTGTCAGAAAGGGTCATGTTTACAGGGTGGTCTAAGAAGATGGATTTGGGGGGTTGAAATACTTGGAAAAATCTGCAAATTTCTCACACTTGAAATTGAGTCCTGTATGTTTTGAATTTGGTGCAGAGAATCTGTTAAAGTTAGCTTTTTATAAGAGAATCTGTTAGTTGAAAAGTTACATACGGTTTTCACTTTTCTTATGATTTTTAAGATTGCAAGAATAATTTAATTTTACTAATAACTTTTTTTGCTATTGTGTCTATAGTTAGATAGTAACAGTTTAATAACATTTAAATTTTTTAAAGAGATTTATGTGAGAAAGTGGTATCATCAAAAATAGTCCATGACTTGAGGCTGGACTAATTATGTTCTCATATAGCTTGAAGGACTCACAACAGAGATTTTGGGCCTCATCATAAACTTGGTTTTATGTCCTAACCATTTCTTTTTGTGTCATGGTTTCTTTTTCCTTCTCTGATATCTCATCTCTTTAGAATCTTATGAAATACTGTAAATTGAAACTCTCTAGCCTTAATATGTTTAATACAGGGCACACATTTTATGGTTATTTTTACTTTAAAATTTTACACTAATTCTCTTTGAGTGTCAGGTGGCAACTAATCCTTGACTATGGGGATATAGTGTAGTTAAAGAGTTTTTGTAAGATGACCTTCATCAAAAGATGCAGCCATGCAGGAACTTCCAATCTTTGATGATGGAGAAGGCCCTTTGAAACTGGGGGCTGGTTTCATATTCTGATTATGACTAATAGCCAAGCTTTTTTGTGCTTGTGGTTTAGTGGGGGTGGAAGAAAAGGGAAAAGGGAGAGGTCAGGAGCTAATCGTGACCCATTTCCATGCGTCCAAGTTTCAGGAGTTGATTCCTGTCATGATTAGTCATTTTGAGAACATGTGTGTGTATTTAAACCACACTACTTTCATTCTGAGTTATACATGAGGGCTTTTAACTTCTAAAAATGTCTAGAATTCAGGTTAACCTCTCCTAGTCAGTGTGCACAAAGGAACAGTGTGCAGTGACTGGGCCTCACTTCTTTTGTGATTGTTGGGGCTATTGCATTATGAAATCCTGTAATCAGAATTACCACCTTAAGATCATAGAATGAAAGGACTAGGAAAGGAGTCTTGAAGGTTAGAATTGAGATCAGTGGTTCATAGTCCTGGTTGCACATCAGAAACTCCTGAGAGCTTTTAAAACTATAGTCACTACCCAGAGAGTCTAATTTAATTGGACTGGTGTGTGGCTTAGCATTGTTGGGTTTTTCAGGTTTCTCACATGATTCTAACGTGTAGTTAGGATGAGGCTTGCTGATCTAGTTCAAGCCCCTTATTTTATAGGTGAAGAACTTGATTCTTTGCATTAATGACTTTTCTAAGGTCACACAGCTAGTTAGTACAGTGGTAATTAGTACTCGTGGTTCTGAAGATCTTTGTTCTTTATCACAGTTTTCCTCTTTAAATTGATAGCTTTTTAAAGGTCAATTACTAAGTAACAAATAGTCTTATATAAGTACAGGGTGCTTTCCTGAAAAGCATATTTGCTTTTTTTATCTAAAAATGCCTTGGTTATTATTTTAGCATTGGAAAGACAGACAAGTATTAGTGGAGCTGAGCTTTACATCGTATTTGTAAACCTGCCCAGTGCCTGTCAGTGTGGGTCTTTAGAAACTATGGAGTGATATAAAGGTGGTGAAAAAGACAGCATTTTAATAAAAAGAGGAAGCTCTTGGTTAGCTTGGGTTGTCAGATGCACTCTGTGCCAGGGACAAAGGTGATGGCTATCTCATCGGTTCCCTTACCTCAGGCAGTAAAGCAGAAATGAATAATCGTATGTGGTTAAGAGGAAAAGGTTGTTTCCTTTAACTCAGATTAAGCTTCCTTGCTCTGCACCCATAATTGAACTGGTGAGTTCTCTGGGTTCCTCCTGTCTTGGGCAGACCTCCAGACTCCACGTTCACCTGCTTGGGCTTGTTTGCATGTACTGACCTACACAGAAGCACCACCTGCCTTTGCCGTGGGGCAGGGCACGTGCACCAGCCCTGGGTTCCTGTGCCGGTTCACACAGTTTCAGAAATGTAGGATCCTGTGTGCTGGCCGCTGCTTCTGTGGAGATTTCTTCAAGAGCCTGTCTTCCTTGGTGTGAGAACGTGAGCTCCTACGCTTCTTCCCAGGGTGGAGAGGTGGGGGCTGGCCTGCCACACAATGCTCATTTACATGTCACTGTGCTGGTCCCCTAGATGAGGTATCCAGTTCCTTCTCAACATACTGTGTGAAGAAAATGTCCTTTCAACCGCAAGTTTTATGTTTAAGAATATTTTTTAAAATTTCAAATTGATAAGTTATAGTAATTCCCTGTTGGCTTGTATTTTTGACCTTAGTCACTTTTGGAGTAACTCCCCAAAGGACCCGTTACCGTCGTGTGCGAGGAGTCTGTCTTCTGCTGGGCCCGTGCTGCCAGAAGGCTCTTCTGCAATTCCTTCAGCAGCGCTGTCCTGTCGGCGGGCCTCAGCCAAGGCACTTCCTCTCCCTGCAGCGGCGGCGCGCTAGGGGGGCTGTTTTTCCTCTTTTTCAAAGCTGTGTCATCGACCTATGAAGTGAAGAAATTGGCCCTTTTAGACTTTGATCTGTGAGCCCCATGTAGCAGAGAGACTCTTTATAAAAGAAGCTAAGTGTTTGTTTTGATATGTTTATCTCCTTCTTAGAAAATGAAATGAAACTATGCAGACTTATTTTTAGGAGGTTTTAGGAGGGCTCTATTTTAAGAGAATGATACCATAGAAGAACATCTTGTAGTTAAACTTTTTATTACTCTACTTGTGATTCTTACTTTAAACTGCAAGATATTTTTATTTGGAAAATTAGTGAGGAGGCCTTGTCCCACTAAAAAAGTCATTTACTTGGTCTGGAAAAAGCTTAGCAGACACCCTTTGTCCAAAGATCTTGATAAAAGGTCAAAGATAAGACTGTTTGGGTATCTGTGTTCTGGCAGGTAACCCACTCACCCACTGCTGGTCAGATTCTATAGATTCTCAGGGCTGGAGAGAATATGAAATTCATTCTTTCCTCCTCATCTTGTCTGCAAGGGATCAGACTCGATGCTGCTCTTGGCCTCTTCCTTGTTCTCTCCTTTTCGTGCGTCACAGATCGAGGGGTCCTGAAGAGCCCCTGTGGCTTTTTGTGGCGATGGAAGGAGCGGGGGATGACTTACAAACGGGTGGATTAGTAACCCGGCAAATGAAACGCACCAGCTTTCCTCCGGAGTGAACCTGCCGTAAATCCAGAGGTGCTGTTGGCAGTTTTCAGTGGTGGTTTGGAATTTCTTGTTTTTTATTTGCGTGTGTGTGTGGGAGAATGCACATCATATTTTTCGTTGTGTTTTAGCTGTCTAGTGAAATTAGTAATTTGGCTC